CCATCTGAATACACGACATAGTTTCGAAGATGAGTTCAGCCACTTTTACACAGCAAAAAAGATTGGCAAAAGTAGAAGGCGCAGTATTTAGTCCTTAGAACCTTTGATAAAACATTGATTTTATTTTTTATTTCAAGTTTTTTCGAACATGAAAGAATTTTATATTTTTCAGATTTCTTAACCTGCTGAGGATTATTGTTAGAGGTAGTACTCTGTTTGATTAAATATATATTTGCTTTGTGATAGATAAAATCGTTTTTTCATAATATATATTTGCATAAATCATTTCAAAAATTCAAACAGTTATTATACTTATTATCAATTTAAACTAATACTAGAGTAATCGAAGATATGAAGACTAAAATAGTGTGGCCTCTAGTATGATCGCGGTCTCTTTTTTTGTTTAGATCTCGTGGGACCTGGTTTTGTAATTTGGTCGTATTGCGAAAGAAACCTAGATAAACAGTCCATGATATGGCTATATCCATGGCAATGCCCAGCACTGGGCCATATACTTGTTATATAACCAGAAGTTTTGCCAGCCTCATCAGCTAAACTTGTCATTCTTAGCACCACAAATTGTCCTCGTTGTCCGGAGCTCATAAAACCCTGCTTGCTTTCCATTATGACACAAATGCAATAGAAAAATGGAGAGTATAATGAAACTATTCGCCTATAACCAAGTCATGAGTAAGATATTTCTTTGCAATAGTTTGTATATTGAGCTATTCTATGCCTACTCTGCTACACACAATTTTCAATGTAATCCTAGGGACACTCGATTTACTCCGGCTCCCATTAGGCCACCAGTTAGCTTGATAATTTAAGTCTATGCTTACGGAAGTTCAACGGACATTTTCAACCATGTCATTCTCTAAATACTCTTTGAGCAGGGCATCTAAATATTTATTTGTGAAAATTCACGTTGTGCTCAAATATCCCACATGGACAAGCGTAATAAAATTTGTTCGTGTAGTTTGTCTAGCTAACCGATTAATATTAAACATTATCGTTTAATTATGCCTTACGCCTTATGTTATCCTTGTTCTTCATTATCTCTGGACTGCATTTTTACAGTCTATCGGACAAATTTATATATTTCTTCAAGCCCCATAAAAAATAAAAAATCATAACTATATTGTGATATTGTTAAAGATAGCTAAAATTTAACTTAAATAAGTATAGGCAGCAACTAGTTTTAATTACACTCATATATATCAAGTACGTGAAACGGCCTCCCCTATTTTGTCAACCAAAAGGCGCGCTTTCCGCCGATATGTACGGACTGGGTTGGATCTCTTCACTTTATAGTTATTGTCCCAATATTTCGGGTTCTCAAAAGATAATCGTGATAGAAAAGAGTCTACCATTGCCAAACATGTATATTTATAGGATAGCGGGAGTTAGTGGAGCCCTTGCTGTTTCCTTATGTGCCTATGGGTCGCATGGTACATCGTCCACATTTTATTTAACCTAGGTCTGGGTTCGAATTACGATGCAAAAGATAAAAAAATATTTAAAACTGGGACTCGGTTCCATATGTTGCACACCCTTGCTATTCTTGGATGTCCATGTAGTCGCAGACCTTTGCTGGTAAGTTTGTGGCCCTCTATTTTCAGTCTACTGGATTTTTCATCGTTGGTATTTTGCTCTTCAGTGGAGCTTGCTATGTCAAGGCACTAAGCAAAAATGACTTGGTCGGAAAGATAATTCCTGTCGGAGGGACAATCCTCATTTTTGCCTGGCTTTCTCTTTTAATATAGCTATCTTCCATTCCCACCCTTGGATCATACTCATCGAGCCTTTTCGGTCCTTATATATTCAATTAAATATTCTTTGCTACGACTTGGACTGATTTAATATAAAAATAACATATTTGAGCATACTCCCAGGCTATAGCACCGCCCATTATATTTTGATGCGTGTATATACGTACAAATTAACGTTTATGTTGTCATCGCACATCATTTTCACATGAAATATTCACCTTTTATCCCAGCTTATCCCACGTTTTTCTCTTAATTTGATTGA